GTGTGTGCACCTACCCATCTGTGTCTGTGTGTGCACCTACCCATCTGAGTTTGTGTGTGCACCTACCCATCTGTGTCTGTGTGTGTACCTACCCATCTGTGTCTGTGTGTGCACCTACCCATCTGAGACTGACTGCACATCACTCAGTTCAGTCTACACTGCAAACTCAGGATGTCTGAGTTACATGTGTCTCTTCCCAACTGTGTTCAGGGACAGCATACTGGAGGCTGGGAATCGGCTATGGGGGGCAATCAGAGCATTCAAAACAGAAAATGCCAATATTGGCACCTTTCCCCTAGAAAGTTGATTGTAACAGCACATTGTACACAATCCTGAAACATGTATAAAATGTAACTAGTAACTGCTATAAAACATATAGATAACTGCTATAGTAATTCATTTAACAAAGATGTAAATGAAATGTAACTAACTTAAGCATCAGGGGTATATAGAAGTAGGCTTTGTTACTCTAAGGTTCTAGAGATCATTTTATGATCTCATAAAGACGTACTTTGTATTTATAAGACCCTTTACAATTTACAGATGGCATTTACACACATCATACAATGTCATTTCATTTTCATCATACATTAGTGTTTCCCTTCTCACTTCTGAGGTGAAGAACCTAAGGCCAAAGTACAATTGAATTACTTGTCTATGTTTACAAGAACAGTAAGACATCGTACTTAAAAAACATGTTTTAATTTAACAGCCATATTCTTTTTATGCTTTTAGTTTTGTTTGTTTGTTTGTTTGTTTGTTTTCTTGAGACAGGGTTTCTCTGTGTAATGGGCCTAGAACTCGCTCTGTAGACCAGGCTGGCCTGGAATTCACAGAGAACCACCTGCCTAGTTCTCAAGTACTGAGATTAAAGGTGTGCACCGTGTGTGTGTGTGTGGGGGGGGTGGGGTGCGGAGTGCTGACATTAGGTGTCTTCCTATATTATGCAATGTTGTCTAGGCATTTCCTCAGAGATTGAAACAATATACCTCAGCAGGAAAGTTCCTTAAACCAGAAGGGAAACAACTCAAAATTCTTCAGGAAGTCCCTGAAACTGATCAGATTTACTAGGTCCCTTCCTCCCAAGGATAAACCATAACTGCTGAGGTCACTCTCAGACAGGCAAAGGGGCAAAGAAGAGAATGAGACCAGACCAGCTGCTTGGAGGAAGGAGAGACAAGCCCACTTGCCTGGAAGAGGTTTAAATCAACTGAGTCACTTGGAAAGGACACTCAACCTACTGAGCTACCTGAAGGCTACACAGTGTGCTCCAGGTTCCAGCTTTTGTGAGCTGTCACCTGTGCTGAGGTGTGCTTTGGTGATGTATCTGTCTTTGATCATTTCTGCTCCTACAAGCAACCTCTTTAAGTAACCAATGAGAGAGGAAGTTGATCTCTGGTGGCATCCATGCTTTGCTCTGTAAGGAGCTCCCTATCTGGGGTGGGCAGGGTTAGCGTGTAGCGTTTCCCCAGGAAAAAGTTAGTCACACAATACTCATCACCTTATTTTTTGAGACAGTGTCTCTCCCTGAACTCAACACTTCTACACTGGCTTGGTTAGCTGGCCAACAAACTCCAGAATTCTCCTGTTTCCAAGCACCATACCCCTAGTTCTAGGGTAAGAGACTAACTTTTAATGTGGGTGTTGGGGGTCCGAATTCAGGACTTTCATGCTTGTGTGTTAGGCACTTCAACTAAGGCACCAGCCAGCCCTCTTAGTAGCTAGATTCTTAAACACTGATAGACATCTAATAAGTTATACACATGATAATTACAAACCACAAAGGCAGAGTCACAAGAATAATAAAATCTCTATAATTTAAAATATACAATATACACAGTACATTTTGAATGTGTAAGGGACCCAAATGCACTATAAAAAGTACAAATTCAGGTAACTATAATGGATCATTTAATCTGAGACTAAGTATGCTATAATATGCATTAAATTATAATTGACTATATTGTTTCTTTAGACTTTGAATAATTTATAATGTTTCATGAAACTGCTTTGGAGTATTGAGCTCTTAAGAAAAGAAAAGCTAACCAAGGAAATTGGTGCTAATGTCTATCCTTAAAAACTAAATTTCTCTAGTGATAACAAAAGTCAATATTTTTACCAACATTATGTCTATTTTTATTATTTATACAATACTGAGAGCACTATTTTATATAAGGGTAGAAGCTAACTGTCACTGTTGGTAAAGTATGGTGATAGAAATGTATGCTGGGGGCTGGAGAGATGGCTCAGTGGTTAAGAGCACTGACTGCACTTCCAGAGGTCCTGAGTTCAATTCCCAGCAACCACATGGTGGCTCACAACCATCTGTAATGAGATCTGATGCCCTCTTCTGGTGTGTCTGAAGACAGCTACAGTATATTCATGTACTAAATAATTTAAAAAAAAAAAAAAAAGAAATGTATGCTGGGATGCTGTCTGCCCACTGAAACACATGTCGTATTAAAGGCAGAAAGTAATGTTTCTCTTATTCTCCTCCTCATCATTAAATTTTTAAAATGTATTTATTTAATTAGTTTTGGAGACAGGGCCTCATCATGTAACTCTGGCTGGCCTCTGCCTCCCAAGTGCTGGGACTAAAGTGTGTCCTGCCATACCTGACTCTTAATTGACTGTCAATTAATTCACTGAATGAACTTTACAGGTGCCTTTCCAAATACTTACTAATTGAAGACCATGTAAGTGACCTAAACATGGCTTTGGCTGTTGTGTAAAGGACAATGCTTGTGAATGAAATGGATGTGTGGGTGCTGACTAGGCAACATCAGACATCAGCTCAGATGAGCAGCAGCACCAAAGCCCAACACCCAGCAGTCTGCAGGATGGAGCCGTGTCACAGGAGTCAGTTCTGCTGGTTCCTAAGAAGCACTAAGTCCTGAGGCAGGAAGGTCTACATCTCTTTCACGGTCCTAGCTAGAAGGACGCTTTAACCACAGTGGAAGAAGACAGAAGACAGTGGAACTGGAATGGGGTTTTGAAGCTTTTTGAGACAGGGAGGGAGGAAGGATGTTAGATAAGCACTGCTAAATACTAGGGTTTCTTAAGATCGGTTCTTACTTTTAGCTCAGGCTGGCCTGGTGTAGCCCCAGGCAATCCTCTCTTCTCAACCTCTGCCATACTAGGACTGTGGACATAAGCCATTCTGGAGGGTGTTGGAGGATGCTGGGGAGCACAATGTGCCTCCTTTCCACTCAACTGTACTGTTCTGAACCCAATGGGAACAACACTAAAGCCTTAAACAGTGATCTGCTCATTTTTTTTAACACTAGGAATTGAACCCAGGGTCTCATGCATGCTATGCAGCTCACACCCTGCCATGAGCTGTGCCTTCAGTCCCCACTTTCCTATCTTTCTACAGTAATTCTGGGGCTGGGGAAATAGCATGGTGGTGGAGTACTTATCTGGTGTTCATGAGGCTCTGTATACAACCCTCGTACCATATACACAGGAACATGGCATTAAAACAAAGTTTATACGTCACCGAATCAATTATAGTTACTCTTACAGTTATTTCTCAATTTTATCTTTTATTTATCCCCAGTCTTTAACAAAACTATAATCTTAAAATTCTTAACAATAAGGTAGCTGTCCAGAGTAGAGAACAGAATTTTATGTTGACTACACTAACATGTTGTTGATTCCTTAATCATAGTAACGTCGTGGTTGACAAAAAACAAAAGAATCTAAGATGCAGATGATGGGTCTGCTTAGGGACTATGGAGCTTGGGTTACCAGGAGGGCCAGGTAATAAAGAGAGGGAGAACAGACATCTGAATTATAGACTCACTTTTATTACATCTAAAACGTGAGATCATACACTGTCAAACCCTTCAAGAAATAATTAGAGGGAAGCTGTGTCCCAAACCGGTCCTAAAGGTGCTAAAGGTGTCCTCAAACAGCAAGCCCACTGAGGAGAGCAGGAAGAACAGCAGCCGTACAGTGCAGAAGGAACCACACAGACCAAGATAGAACAGAGCCTCAGGGCCAGATCACTCAGGAGTCACCGTGTGAAGAACAGTGACAGACATACGCCAGTGGATCTGCCAGGGCAGAGGTCTTTTCAGAGACAGTTTTGACAGACAATGGATGTTAAGGTCAGATTAAGACAGATTATGGTGAGTGAAACCAAAGGGTGAGCATTAAGGGTGTCCTAGAAGTAAAGAAGCAACGGGGGGGGGGGGGGTAGGGGGCAGCAACATGAAGCACAGGGACACAAACGCTAAAGAAGACAAGACGGAGGAGGTACGCCCTGAAGTGGAGCACAATGTCACAGCTCATTTAAGGGCGCTCACTCCGAGGCTAACCCGCCCACGTACACGTAAACCTTGTGATGGAGAGTTAGACACCGAAGATGCAGAGCCAGATGACCTTAGCTCTCTAGTCTCCTTAACAGCCATCTGTTGTCTGCATCTGTCGGGCCTACCATCCTCTCAAACACCAAGTAAAACTGTGGGATCATGCTCACACACAAGCTAGAAGTGGAGAATGTTATTAGGTAACATGTAAAACCCAACAGAGTTTATCTA